GCTCTAGAACTGAGCTATTTAGAAGATGTATTAGCTTTCTTTTGCCATAACAAAATCTCTGATATAAATAATCTATAAATACAGGAGGTTTATTTGGGCTCAGTCTTCAAAGTGCTAGTCCATTTTCAGTTGCCCAATAGTTTTGGGGTTCCAGCAGGAAAGCACATCTAGAAACACGTTGCAAGCAAAACCAGTCAGGACCTAAAATCCTCTCATGGCGTCCTATCTCTCAAAAGTTATACCACCTTCCAAAAGAGATTCAGCCTGTTTCTAAACCTTTAAAAGGGCCTAATGGTAGCTAAATTAAGCAACGATGCTTTCACTGAACCAGCCCAGAAAGGCTTCGATCTGAAGCTAAACTACAAACACATCTTGGATGTCACATAAATGAAACTTTGTTCTAAAAAGCTTTGCTGCAAGGAGCACTTTCTGATTGTGCCTTCTCCAGCAGCACAAGGTACAGAGAGTGGTCTGTAGGCCGCACTACTCTAGGGTTACCACCCAGTCATCAAAAAGTGAGTAACTTTGCAAAATTAGACTCCCCAACAGACCTCTCTCTTTCTCAAAAGCAGTCCACCAAAGTTAGAGTTAGGCTGAAATTTACATTTTAAGAAAAATCTTGCTGGGCAATGGTGGCACACGCCTTTAATCCCAGCACTTGGGAGGCAGAGGCAGGCAGATTTCTGAGTTCAAGAGTTCAAGGCTAGCCTGGTCTACAGAGTGAGTTCCAGGACAGCCAGGGCTACACAGAGAAACCCTGTCTCGAAAAACCAAACCAAAATAAATAAATAAATAAATAAATAAATAAATAAATAACTGGAGCTATAGCTCAGTTGAGAAAGTGCCTTAGTTTGATCACCCCAAACTCAGATTAAAGAAAATCTAGGCGTGGTAGTGTGCTCTTAGAATTCCGGTGCTATGGAGGAGGAGTATCTTGAGGGCTCACTGGTCGCTCAGTCTAGCCTGTTTGGTGAGCTTCAGACCAGTGAGAGACCCTGTCTCTGAAGAAAAAGAGTTCTTACCTAAGCAACAACAGCTAAAACTGTCCTCTTATATCCATACGTTCATGTATGCATATGTAACGGCACACACATACATACATAACCGTCAACCACCTCACCAACTAAATACACTAAGAAAACTAACATTTTCAGAAGCACATCTAGACGTAAGAATGGTTAATAGGGTAATAGTTGCTTTGGAAGTCCACACCCACAAGTGTCTCGGCAGTATGGGACCACATTACTCAAAGAGACAAAACTTAATAGTGATAAATATTTTTAAAGATTTAACAAGGTATCTGAGTGCTGGTGGTAGAGAATAAGAGTATTCTGGATAGAGGGCTGTCACTTGTGTTAGTACTACCCTAAGCAAGTTGTACGGCTCTGTAAGGAAAGAATTAGCCTACTCACTTGGGAATTTAGTGGTGTTTAGAATGCAGAAAGTGACAATGAAGCTGAAAATGGATTGGCTTTGGGGCTTGTTCTGCTTTATAAATAATAATGAACCTTTTCCAACATGAAGTAATGTGAAATGAAAAAAAAAAATCTGTCCCTAGAGTGCAAAATTACCTCGGAACCCAATTTGCATTTTTCCACTCCAAGCATATTTTCTGGGAGTTGGATGTAGGGAGGGAAGTTGCTATAAGATAATTAATTTTAACAAGCATTCAGGATAGGGAGCTGGTCAGTGTTCAAACTGCCTTCCACCAAGTATGAATTCAAGCTATACTTTTAAAAAAAAAATTTTTATTGACTGTGAATTTCACATCATGTGCCCCAGTCCCAGTCCCTGTCCCTCCATACCTGCCTTCTGCCCTTGCAACCTCCCCAGCCAAAAGAAAACAAAAAAATAAAATATACATACATACATACATACATACATACATACATACATACATGTATACAAACATCTTGCAGTGGGAGCTGCAGTGTGTCACAGTGTGTCACACAGTATACCCCTTTGTTCACATGTCTTTTCTTGCAAATGTTCACTACAATGAGTTACTCATCTGGTTTGAGTCCTCTGGCTTCTACACCATCAATACCAGATCCATATCGGGGCACCTCTTGAATATCCTGTTGTTGCACTCTGTCGTGGAGATCCTGCAGCTCTAGTTCTACAGGATCAGTCCCTTCATAGGCCCCAGCAGTTCATTGATGGGGTAGATGTTGGGGTGGGCCAGCTCAGAGCCCTGGACGGAAGCTAGGCATGGATGAGTTGCCCAGAACACCTAGTATCCTGTGCCTGCACACCAGGGTGAGCTCCCCAGCACTGCCCAGGTGAGGGGTGGGGCCAGCACTCCCATCTGCACAGGTGATAAAGTACTGATTGGTGGGGACACTGGTTTTTTTTTTTTTTTTTGTCAATGAAAAAAATCATTATTTCATTGTTTTAAATTATCTGTATGGCAACTTCTTGTGTTTTTCATTTCTTCTTCATTTGGATCGTTTAACAAAACAATTGTGTGTGTGTGTGTGTGTGTGTGTGTGTGTGTGTGTGGTGTGTATGCCCATCGAAAAAAGACATGGGGTCCTGGTATATCTTGCTCTGCCTTATTCCCCTGAGACAGAATCTGACCCTGAGTGAGGCTAGCCTAGCAGCCAGCAACACCCAGTGATCCTCCTGTTTCCTATCCAATAGTGGTGGTGTCAGAGTCACTAACATAGCTGTGGTGAGTTGAATAAGTGTGGGGAAAATTTAAGAAGGCCGCCACAGCAGCGCAAGCCCAGGAGGGGCTTCTGCCGCCTTGGCGGATCCCACATTAGGGAGGAAATCCTATGGTTCCAGCGGCCTGAGGGCCTTGGCGGCTGCAGGCCCCAGTAACACGAGGAAGTCCTTGGTTCCAAAAAGGTTTATTGCTATGGCAGACAATAGATGGATCTAGGCATACCCCCCAAAAAAAAACTCAGGGCAGTCCCGAGTTATATAGGGAGGGAGAAAGGGGGAGGATCTGGGGGAGGCAAGTTTAATTTGCTCTGCCCTCTGGCCTTCATTAGTATGTAAATCCCTAGGGCCTGAGGCCTATAGCCTGGCCTATGTAGCAATTCTATGGAGACTGTGACCGCTTTTTCAGGATCCTGGGTTCTGGAGGGCATCAAACTCCGGCCGGTTCTCATGTAGAATCTCGCCCAGAATCTACAGTCTCGGGGTTCTAGACACCTGATCCACCATGATCCAGGATACCCTTACGCAGTCCCACAAATAAGTATGGCCCCCATAAACTTATGTGTTTGAACACTTGGCCCATAGGGAGTAGCACTATTAGGAGGAGTGGCCTTGTTGGAGTAGGTGTGGCCTTGTAAGAGGAAGTATCATTGTCTGGGCAGGCTTTAATGTCTCCCTTGCTCAAGATACAGCCAGAGTGGCACACAGTTGCCTTCTGCTGCCTGTGGATCAAGATGTAGAACTCTCAGCTCCTTCTCCAGCACCACATCTGCCTGCACGCCTCCATGTTTCCCTTTGAAACTGTAATCCAGGCTTGATTAAAAGTTTTTAGTAGTTGCAGTGGTCACAGTGTCTCTTCACAGCAATAGAAATACAAATGAAAACAATAACCATGCATGCCTTCTATGTGTATGCTGAGATCTGAACTCTGGTCCTCATACCTGTACAAGTACCCTCTACTCACTCTCAATTTGTTTTCTTTTAATAATATGAGAGTGCAAGGGCAGATGGTAAAAACTGAAGATGTGGAAAAGTCACGTGTAGCAGCACAAATCTGCAATCTCAACACGGTGGGAGAGCCTGAGGTACATAGCAAAAGAATTTCTGTCAAGGGAAAACAATGGAGGGCTGGAAGAATACTGCACATATGATTTCCATCAGGGATTTAGCGGGATGGTAAAGTGTTTTGCCTAGTAAGCCCTGGATGCAAAGGAAGCGGGGGATAAAAATTGCATGTTTCATCAAATGGATCATTTGTTTTTTCTTTTTTCTCCGTGGTTCATAAAACACATAAGAATCTATTGAGTTGTACTGCACAGTAAGTAGCGGGAAACATGTCTTGGAATAGGAATCTTGTGGCATTTTCTGTACAGTGTCTTTTTTTTCTATTAATCTTTTAAAAAATATTTATTTAATGTCTATGAGTGATCTATCTGCATGTACACCTGCACGCCAGAAGAGGACATCAAGTCCCTTTATAGGTGGTTGTGAGCCACCGTGTGTTTTCTGGGAACTGAATTCAGGATCTCTGGAAGAGCAGTCAGTGCTCTTAACTACTTAGTCATCTCTTCAGCCCTGACTTCTTTTCCTAAAGATTTGTTTGGTAAAGGCATCTAAGAGTCCTGAGACATGACCAGCAGTGTTCAAACACTGCTTCTCTTCACATCCCAGAACATGGTATTCAGATGTGCAGACAATGGATCCATTAGGAGTAAGAAAATAAATGTTGATAAAATACAGTGGTTTAAAGCAATAAAAGGCTGCCTGTCTTATCTATCTTCCTAGTATGCTGTTCCACTCTAGATTATGTAGCCAGGTCTCTGTGTCTGTAATTCATATGAAATTTCAGTCTTAACCTTGCCCAAGTAGATATTCTATAACTTTCTAGGTAAGCTATTTTAATTAATTTTAATTAATTAATTAAAGTCCTTACTGCTGCTTTCCCTCTCTCACCTACCAGCCCCTCCCTCTCACCTCCCTCTCACCTCCCCACCCACTTGTGGGCGCGGGGCAGGTCAGCTGAGCCTGCACCCTGCGGCCAATGCCGTCCCGGGACCGCGGCTGAGTTGGCGGGCCTTGGGAGGGCCACCTGCGCACCATGGTGGTGACGACAGGGTTCTGGGAGCAAGGGCGCAGGGACCCAGCATGCCCGGTGGCTGCAGCTGAGTCCCCAGAACAGGGACAGAGGCAGCCCGCAAGGGCAGTGCAAGGACCGCTCCTGCAGGGGAGAGTGCCCCTCGAACAGCTGCAGCAGGGAGTGCAGAGAGGGGCTTTCCCCAGCTCGAGTTTCCCACTTACACAAGAGAGTCCAAAGTTCCAGGAGACATGTGGAATTGACGACATGGAAGTTTTATTGGCCATAATAGCTGTATCTGGAATGACGTGCTCTCCCCCAAAACCCCAGGAGGGGCTCAATTATATTGGGGAGCGGGGGGAAAAAGGAGGGGCTAGGGAGATGAAAATTTAGTTATCTACACTCCGGCCTTTAGGTAATTCATTAATATGTAAATCTCGAAGCAGAGGCCTGTTAGTCACGCCCTCTAACTGTGCCTTACGTGACCTAGCATGCAGGTTAAATGGAAGTGGGACTTCATGTTAGGTCTCTGGGTTCTGGGGGCATGGCCAAACACCCCAGGGTGTCTTCTACAGCCCCACACCCACTCATTCTCCTGTCTAATCTTTCTCCTCAGAAATGGGAGGCCTTCCATGGATATCAATCTCCACTGGCAAATCAAGTTGCAGTAGAACTTGGCGCATCTTCTCCTATTGTGGCTAGACAAAGCAGCCCAGTTAGGGGAAAGGAATCCAAAGGCCAACAGAGTCATAGACAGTCCCTGCTCCTGTTGTTAAGGATACCACATGAAGACCAAAATGCACAACTATTAACATATGTGCACAAGGCCTAGGTCCATACCATGCATGTTCTCTGTTTCGTGGTTCAGTCTTTGTGAGTCCCTATGGGACTAGGTTAGTAGCTTCTGTAGGTTTTCTTGTGGTGTCCTTGATTTCTTTGTTTCCTTCAGTTCTTCCTTCCCGTCTTCCATAGAATTGCCCAAGTTCCACATAATGTTTGGCTGTGGGTTTCTGCATCTATTTCCATCAGTTGCTGGGGACGTCTCTCAGATGACAGTTATGCTTAGGTGCCTGTCTGAAAATATAGCAGAATATCATTAACAGTGTCAGGGGTGGGCTCTCTCTCATGGCTTGGATCACGGGCTGGGCCAGTCATTGGTCATTCTTTCCCCCAACTTTGGCTCCATCTTTATCCCTGCGTTTTTTGTAAGGAGGACAATCTGTGGGTTGAAGTTTTTGTGACTGGGTTGGTATCCCAATCCCTCTATTGGAAGTCATTTCTGGTTACTGGAGTTGGCCATTTCAGGTTTCCATATCCCCCATTGCTAGGAGTCTTAGGTAGCACCCTCATAGAACCTTGGGAGTTTCCATTATCCTACATTTCTAGTTCATCCCAGAGATGTGCTTCCCAGCAATTCCAGTTCTCTTTGTCAGTACTCTCTCCCTCCATCCTCCTCCCCACATTTCCCTCCTGCTCCCTCTCCCTTTTCAGTAAGAGTCAAGCATTTTCCCCTTGTGTCCTCCTTTTTACTTAGCTTCTTTGAGTCTGTGGATTGTAGAATAGTTATCCTGTACTTTATGGCTAATAAACACTTATAAGTGAGTATATATTATGTTGGTCTTTCTGGGTCTAGCTTACCTCACTCAGGATTATCTTTTCTAGGTCCATCCATTTGCCTGCAAATTTCATGATGTCATTTTTTACAGCAGAGTAATACTCCTTTGTGTAAATGTACAACATTTTTTTATCCATTCAGTTGAGGGAAATCTAAGTTGTTCCCAGTTTTTTAACTATTACAAATAAAGCTGCTATGAACATAGTTGAGCAAGTGTCCTTGTGGTACAGTGGAACATCATTTGGGTTTATGATCAGGAGTGGTATAACTGTGTCTTGTGGTAAAACTATTCCTAATTTTTTGAGGAACTGACAAATTGATTTCCATAGTTGTACAAGTTTACACTCCCACCACCGATGGAGGAGTGTTCCCTTTGCTCCATATCCTCACTAGCATATGCTGTTGCTTGAGGTTTTTATCTTAGTCATATTGATGGGTAATGTGGAATCTCAGAGTTGTTTGATTTGCATTTTCCTGATAACTAAAAATGTTGTACATTTAAGTGCTTCTGGGCCATTAAAGATTCCTCTGTTGAGAATTATTTATTTAGATCTGTACCCCCATTTTTGAATTGGGTTATTTGGTTTGTTGATGTCTAGTTTCTTGATTTATTTATATATTTTGGGTATCAACCCTCTGTTGGATGCAGTGTTGGTGAAGATATTTTCCCATCCTGTAGTCTGCTGTTTTGTCCTTTTGAAGGTGTCCTTTGCCTTACAGATGCTTTTCAGTTTCATGAGGCCCATTTATTAATTTTTGATCTTAGTGTCTGAGCTATTGGTATTGTGTTCAAGAAGTTGTCTCCTATGTCAACGTGTTCAAGGCTATTCCCCACTTTCTCCTCTATCAGATTTATTGTATCCAGTTTTTTGTTGAAGTCTTTGATCCACTTGGATTTGAGTTTTGTGCAGGATATTAAGATATCAATCTATATGCAGACATCTAGTTAAACCAACACCACTTGTTGAAGATGCTTTCTGTTTTCCATTGTGTAGTTTTGCCTTCTTTGTCTAAAATCAAGTGTCCATAGGTATGTTGGTTTACTTATAGGTCTTCAATTTGATTTCATTGATCAACCTGTCTGTTTTTATGCCAATACCATGCAGTTTTTATTACTATTGCTCTATAGTACAACCTGAAATCAGGGATGATGATACTATCAGAAGTTCTTTTATTATACAGGATTGCTTTAGCTACTCTGGGTTGTTTTTTTTTTTTCAAATGAAGTCGACAATTACTCTATCAAGGTCTATAAAGAACTGTATTGGAGTTTTGATGGGAATTTTGTTATTCTGTAGATTGGTTTTGGGCAGACAGTCATTTTTACTATCAGTTAATCCTATTGATCCATGAGATGAGCTTGGGGGATGTTTCCGTCTTCTGATATCTTCCTCATTTTCTTTCTTCAAAGATTTGAAGTTATTGTTATACAGGTCTTTTTGGGTAGAGTTATCCCAAGATAGTTTATGTTATTTGAAGCTGTAATAGTGAAGAGTGTTATTTCCCTACTATTTTTCTCAGCCTCTTTGTCATTTGTATAAAGGAGGGCTACTGATCTTTCTTGAATTGATTTTCTATCTAGCTACTTTGCTGAAGGGGTTTATCAGCTGTAGGAGTTCCCTGGTAGAATCTTTGGGGTTGCTTATGTATACTATCATATCATCTGTAAATAGTGATACTTTGACTCTTTCTTTTCCAATTTGTATCTCTTTGATCTCCTTTAGTTAGTTTAGTTTAGTTTAGTTTAGTTTAGTTTAGTTTAGTTTAGTTTATTGCTCTAGCTAGAATTTCAAGTACTATATTGAATAGATATGGAAAAAGTGGACAGCCTTGTCTTGCTTATGATTTTTGTGGAATTGCTTTGAGTTTCTCTCCATTTAATTTGGTGTTGGGTACAGGCTTGCCGTAAATTGTCTTTATTGTGTTTAGGTATGTCCCTTGTATTCCTTAATCTCTTCAAGACTTAACATGAATGGTGGTTGGATTTTATCAAAGGCTTTTTCAGTGTCTACTGAGATGATTATGTGGAGATTTTTTTTCTTTCAGTTTGTTTATATGGTGGATTACATTGTCAGATTTTCATATGTTGAACCATCCCTGCATCCCTGAAATAAAGCCCACTTGATCATTATGGATGCTGTTTTTGATGTGTTCTTGGAGTATTTTGTTGAGTATGTTTGCTCTAGGTAAGCTATTTAATATGGCTTATTTTAAGATGAAAGACAATGACATAGAAATCCATTCCTTATGTTATTGCAAACAGATTTTTCCAGCTTGCAACTTAACTCTTTACTCTTAAAGAGAGCACCTGCCCTTGTGTGATAACAACTTTTCATATTTCCCTGCATTTATAAAAACAACTACATAATATTTTATATAAAAATCTCAACAGATGATTATAAGTACAGGCTAAACCTATTTGTCTGTGTATCTTATTCATTTTGTGTAGCAATGTGACTCTATCTAGAAACGTTGACTATGGAATGGACTGTTGTTTAGCCACCTACAATTGTAAGGTTGTTCAAACTAAGCTTTTCTGTATTGCCACATGAGCAGGCGTCATTTTTGGAGCTTAGTAGCATTCTGCAAAGTGAGATAGGTCCATACAGTAATTAAAGATACTTTTATTAGTTTTTTATTTATAATGGAAATTTGCTTAATTTGAATCGCACTCCACATTGAGAACCTAGCATAGACAATCCCTATACTGAGATGCAGAAAGGGATGAGAGTGACTCAAACAAAGCCCTGCCTTTCGGAAAGCTTTCCCTCAGATGAGGAGGGGTGTGTGTGTGTCTGTGTGTGTGTGTCTGTGTGTGTGTGTAGATAATGGACAATGATTTGATTGCTGGAATAGAAAAATGTTACAGATATAACAAACCTCAAATGTGAACTTTAGCAAGACCCCTATCATCCTCTCCTTGCTTCTCTGCTCTCTCTCTTCCCCTCTTCTCTTCCTGATCCTGCCCTTCCTTCTCCTTTATCCTCTCTCTCTCTCTCTCTCTCTCTCTCTCTCTCTCTCTCTCTCTCACCTTCTCATCTTGCCTTCCCTCTCAGTGTCTTCATCTTGAGGGCCTGAGAATAGATTTGTTTGTCAGTCACCAACTGAGTATCTAGTATGTGGCATGTGTTAGTAGTGGCTTATTTTCCTTCTCATGAGGAAGGCATTGGGCTAAACACTTTTCAAGGATTATCTCCTTTAGTTTTCAAAACAAGCTCATCTTCAAAAGAAAGAATTTGGGGCTAAAAGATAATTGGTGACTCAATCAAAGTATATAATATGTTTGAGTCAAAGTTTATCTCAATTATTAACATGACTGCAAAGCTTACATCGTTACATTCTATGTCACAAAGTCCCAACCACTTTCTAATAGTTTCTATTCTATCTATCAATGTCAGATAACTATTATTTACTCTAAAAATGTTAAGTGTAAAAACAGAGTTAGGCTTTTGTATTACTAGTAGACATTAAGTCTACTCAAGGAAATGAGTCATTTTATTCCAAATGGAAAAATTCAAGAAAGCTTCATGGAAGAGATAGCATAGGACAAGAGTTATGATTTACCTACACCAGCAGACCATGGTGGTCCATGCCTTGAATCCCAACACTCAGGATGAAGAGGCAGGTGATCTCTGTGAGTTCAAGGCCAGTCTCATCTACAAAGCAAGTTTCAGGACAGCCAAAGCTATTTCACAGAGAAACCCTGTTTTGAAAAACAAACAAACAAAAAGTGAACCCTTAAAACCTAGCTAGAACCAGATTATTGTAAGGCTTTGGAGATATAGGCTCAAGAAAATGGAAGGTTACTAAAGTCTGAAGGACACTAAAGTGAAATAACAATTAGCTTTGGTTTAAGGCATATTTGTTTTGTTCGATTTTTCTGATTTTAAAAAACCATATAATCAGAAAGAATTATTTAGCTAGATTGACAACTGCAAGATGAACAAATGAAATTGTATCCTAGGTGTCAGATAAAATGAAAAATGTCATTTTAAGACAAATGATTTTCATAATACTTTAAAATATAATGGGAAAATCTTATAAAATATGTGAAATGATTTCTCACATAAAACTATGTTAGAAGTGGTATAGACTGCTCTGCCATGCTCCTGTACAACGGATCTACAGAATCAGGTCCAGGCCCTATCTCTGTGTAGAAGAGAAAGAAACAAATTTGTTAAAATAACTTTTATAACTAGAAAAGCAAATGTAAGAACCTACTGTATTTTTTTTAACTAAACGACCTTAAATTGGCCCAGTGATATCAGCTGTGGTTTTTGTTTTTCGATTAAGTTAAAAGAACTAGTGAGAAGGGAGATCAGAAAGGAGCTAAGCTGGTGACAAAAAAAGACATGAGTTTGGGAAAAAAATTCCAACCCTCAATGCTTAAGTAATGTCTATCTTTAATGTTGAAATGTGTTTCTTGTATACAGCAGGATAGATTCTGTTTTCTATTCTG